AGCTTGCCATTGCGCTTGCTTGCTGCCTTCCTTCGCTTGTTGGCTATCCTTCGCTTGTTGTAGCACTCCCTACCCATTCAGACATAAAACTAAACAAGGCACAGTTCTCGATATGATACTGATCCAAACCCATTCAGGCATAGAACTAGATAGGCACAGTTCTGGATACGTTACAGACTATCCAGAACCGAGCCTGATCCTAACCCTAACCCATTCAGGCATAGAAGTAGATAGGCACAGTTATGGCTACAGTCAACATGGTGCGTTCCATCCCTACTTTTCTGCAGCCCCAGCGCCACCCCGTGCACAGCGTGGGCGTGCCGCCGGCCAGACACCCGATGCCGTACCGCCAGCCTTTTCAGCAGGTCCGGCCGCCGGCCAGCATGATGCAGGCTCCCCGGCCCACGGGGCCCCCCATCCTGTCCAGGCCAGCCCCGCCACCTCTGCTGCACTCCAACAACCCTCCTCAGGTACGCTTATTTATTATGTTTACCGAAGGAAAACATATTGTTTTTTCTCAGTTTCTTCTTCTTCTCTAAACAGTGACCTCTGACCTGGCCAATGACCTGATTTGTTTACGTCTCTCACCATGGTAAATGGTGGTGGGTTACATACATGCGATGTAATGTTGCAATTTCATGGTCTGCTCTGCTCCTGTCATAAAATATACTAGTAGTACATGTATGTGAATGTGTCTGGGTAAGAATAAGCAGAGGCTGTCAGAGCAGACCATGTCCTGAGGTAAACATTATGCATTTGCTTTGCAAATGTTACTTCTCTAGTTTATTTATGAAGCTTTACCACATTTGTGGAAGGGTTCAGACATAACAGGTGACTATCACCTCTGCTAGATGTCAAACCTGAGACCAGACTGTAAGGTTTGATCCACTCACACCGGGAAGGAACCCTACGCTTTTTATAAGTGTGGTGGGATCTTTAACGTGCTTGAGGTGTGGCTCTCCTCAAACACTGGACCGCTGGCTTTAGGTCTAATATCCGAAAGGACGTCCCTAACTGAAGCTAGGTACTCATTTTCACATGAGTCGTGTGAGGAAATAGATACAGTTGTGGATGCAATTAACTGGATGAAATAGGCACAATGGGACCTGCCAGGGATTCAAACCCAGAACCTTTGGATTCTGAGTCAACAGCCCTAACCACAAGACCACCTTGCTGTCACCTTGGTAACTGGTGCTGTAGCAGACACCCTGTGGTGTTGGATTACATTATGTAGCAAGTAGCAGGACAGAGTTGGAGGGGCTGGTCACCATATACATTGGCAAATCAAGGGCATTCTCGGAATAGTTGTGAACAAGATTCAGTAAAAACTTAAGGAAAAGACTGGATCCTTGTCAGCCGTTGATTCTGTCAGGCCTGCTTGAAAATTCAACAGTAAAATCGTAGACGACATACAAAGAATGTAACCATGCCCTTACTCACAACCACCTGCCATACCTAACCTTTACACCTCTAACTCCCCTCCTGAAGCCAGCCTTCTGTCTAACTGATGATGCCCTTCCTCTCCACCAATACAGGTCCATCAGATGAGGCCACCTATGCAACCCTCATTCCCGCCGAGGCCACCCCCCCTTCCAGCAGCAGCAACAGCCGCCAAACCACACCCAGCACCACGTCCCCACCCCG